CAATTTTTTGGGGAAATCTGGGAACCTAAAAACAAGAGGAAATGCTAGAAAATTCTTGGAAAAGCATCCAGCCGAAAACGTAACAAAATCTAGACAAAGCCTAGAGCATTCCTAGGAAAATGCTGAAAAGGCCTTTGAAAATCCCACAAATCCAGCATTCCTAGGAAAATGCTGAAAAAGCCTTTGAACATCCCACAAATCCAACAGAAAACGTGACAAAATCTAGGAAAAAGCAAGGGCATTGGCCGGGACCGCCGCGACCAGCCCGGGATTCGAGCCCGGGACCATTTTGGACCGTGCTTATTTTCCCGCGCGGGTAGAGAGGGTGCCCCAAGATGTAAATCAATTGGGATGGCAGAATCTTGGACAATCCAGGGCACAATCACGTCGCACTTTGGTAGCAATCACGTCGCACTATGGTAGCAATCACGTCGCACTTTCGTCACTGCAATAAGGGTCCGGAGGGGTAGGGGAGGTCAGGTCTAAGTCTAAGGCTAAGGCCTCAGGCTTCAGGCTAAGGCTAACATCGACAGTCACGCCTCACCCCACGGTGTGGGGTCGGCGGATTAAACAGTCTCAGTATGTGATACATGTTTTAATTGTTTTTTTAAATAAAGTCAGGAGGTCAAGGGCTTGAACAAAGGTTATGTATAAGGAAACATGTCATATGTTGTTTCTTGCTTTACTTGTCATTCTGCCCAAGGTAGTACGTATTATATACAACCACTTTCTGATATATACAAGGAGCGGCTTTGGACGGCAGCCACACGAGCTAGGGCAGCAATGGATTTAAGTAGAGTAGAGTGTTTTGTGCTAAATACAATGATGATACCGAAGGTAAACAAAAAAAGGAAAACATTTATCAATAAGAAGGTTGGACAACATAGAATACAGGATAGAAAGGGTCAACGGGAAATACCTATGCCTAAGGAAGGATTCAAAAAGAGTCGCCAGTTGTAGATCCACACAATCAAGAAGATATCACAATCAAGAAGATGTCACAATCAAGTTGAATTAGATCTCTTAACGGCAAATGTTGTTGGGGTGTTCATGTCAATGACATGTGCTTCTGCAGAATGCTATCATATGGCATCCGCTTCGCAATATGCCGTGCAAGCCCCAGAAGGTAGGTCTTGGAGGGTGGGAAAGATACTATAAATACACCCTTATACACCGACAACCCGGTGGCCCTTGGAGGCCCAAGACTTGGAGAACCTAAGCCTCTTCGAAGCGGACCGTGGGCCTCTGTGGGGTCATGGGGCGTGTGGACGAAGCTCTGGACAAAAGGCTCGGAGAGGTGCGCAGGTCGTCGAACACCAGCGAATAGACATTTAATGACTTTCAGTGTTTCATGATACGTCATGAGGTTTCGTGTGTTTTTCATCATGTTTCATGTGTCTTTCATGATGATTCATTCATGTTTCATGATGTTTCATGTGTGTTTCTGTTGGTATTTGAGACGATCCCAGCTCAGATTCTCAGAGCACCGATGCCTCAAGAGGGTCGGCTGCATCGTGCCACGGCCTTGCTTGTATTGCCAAACCAATGATGGCATGGCATGAGTGGGTCTTTGGTGGCCATTGGGGGGGGTGGTTTGTTGCTATAGCATGCTGCTCTCGTCCCTAGTCGCCGAACCTACCGCAAAAGAATGCAACATCTGGTTGACGACGATGCCAAAGTAGTATCTTCTGGAAGCCTCCTGCAACCATCCTGGACCCAAAGATCGTGACACAGTCACGAACATGGTGGATGCTCGGGTTCCCCAACCCGCACAGTATATACTGCAATTCTCACACACCTCGCGTTGGAACCCTGTCCACCCGTAGCACTGATCTTCTCTCCAATGGCTCGGCTCCACTTCCCCTTAAATCCGCTTGCTGACCGTCTACAGCGGCTGATCTTCTGAGGGGGGAGCCGATGATGGTCATGGAAGCTGGGGATACAGCCATCATTGCTGTACTTACAGTATACTTTGTAGGTGTACGATCGTGTGTGCACCAAGCTCCAACAGTGGTTTGTTTGTTTTGTTAACCGAAGAGGCCTCTCTTCCTTCAATCGCGCCCCTGGCCCTACACTTTCAGTATCCCTAAAGACGGAGGTAAGTTGCGCAACTCTATTGACTCTATTGGACAGAGTTTCCTGGTCCCGGGTCCTAGGCACCTTTACAATGTACCAGCCCATTGTGATCATGTCCAGAAGTCATCAAAAGTCCATAAGAACTTCGTGGCACATTTAGCCTTTTCCTCCGGGCGATGCCCGGCATTCCAACGCAGACGCTGACAGGGCCACTCCTTCGTGCCGTTCCTTCGTGCCGTACCGCTCGCTCTTCAAACATGATCAAGCAGACACTTAGGTACTGATAATATGTATAATCAAACCTGTTTGATGATGTTTGATCATGATTGATATTTAATTATTGACATGGTTTCTTCTTATTGCAGTTCCTCCTCAAAGACACTCAGGTACTGCCTCACTGTTGGTCTTGGTGAGACAATCCGCTGACATCGCCTGGGACACCTACCGTCCATGGTGCAGTTGTCACGTAGTCTTTATCGAATTAACAGACACTCACTGGAACTGTACGAGTCAGGATGTCGTACGGATCTGTGATTCGAAGATCGCCGCACACACGACCTTTGTGCAGGACACCCGGGATGCTGCGGCCCTACTGGAACCCTTGTCCTCGGCGGCGGCAGTGGTGTGCACCACCGGTGTGCCAGCCTTCGGCATTAGCGGGCAGCAGGGAACCCAAGAAAGGGCTCCGGTTGGGGGACCCCAAGAAAGGGCTCCGGTTGGGGTGAATCACATTGTTCTCGGACATGTGTATACATGTGTATACTGTATACTATTGTAATCTTTATAATTTTATACTACAGGTGGTATTTTGTGACATCGTGTAAGCATGTGTAAGTTAAGTGTTGGAGGATGACCTCATTTGTTACAGTAAGTTTAGTGTTCTCTTCCCTTTGGTTTCGCGATGCTCCCTTCCATTTGTGTTTTGACAGAACGCACGTGCACTGGAGATCCCTCAACGTATGACATTGTTGTGTATGCTCGTCCCACCCATGTTCCACCCCCTCGGTAGATCAAAAGGAAGGGGAGGATGGTGGATCCATGTGGATCCCAAGCCCCCCACTTTCTACCAAAAGGGAAGGTTTTCATAAGACACCTCATGCACTTAAACACATGTCGTATGTTTATACTATATGTATATATGCATTATTGAGATATAAAAATGTTTAATGTTCAAGAACACTTACCGGCCGAGGAGTTAAAAGGGACGACGATCAGACTTCCAGTGGTTTCCGAGTCCGTGAACGTGCCGCCCTTGCCTTGGTCGAAGATGTGCTACGATCGCACCTAGGTGGGAGAAGGGCAACCATCCAGAGACGGCCCGGACGCCTGAGGCGCTGGGCGAATAAAGGTGGTGAAGCTCTCGGATGCGTATTTTATATCCCCCTTGCACAGGTCCTTATGAAATGGGGATCCTGGTGACCTATAAATTGACTTTTCCAGGACTCACTTCATAAAAAGCACAATGTTTCCGGAAATCGGAATTTTGAAAAAAAACTCCTGTGTACATTTTATAAACAGTGATTTTTTTAACATAGAGACAGCTCGATGTTGGTTGCTCATGTTATAAACAAGTAATGGTGTGAGAGAATAGAACCATTTTATGAATCATATGTGAATTGCTGCTGCGTGGCTCAGTTTTGACATGTTTGCCAATGGATTTAGTAGTCCTTGGCAGGGGAAAGCTATTTTATGATTTGATGTTCATTGAACATTTTGACATGATTTTGCCTGCTGATCAAAACCTGAGCATTCACCATGTGCCACATTCAAGTTGTGCTTTGTCTTTGGCAGGGGAAATGATGGGAAATGGATGGACATGTTTTAATTTGGTTGCTATCACTTGTCTTAAATTGCACAGTTGCTCCCTTGTTTTGATATTAAAGTTGACTTTCATTCCTTTGAGATGTTTTGAGTGAATTATTCTTCTTCAAAAAGAGTTAACAGAAACTAGTCCTGCATAGGATTTGCCTACATGGAGCCTATAGCCACTATAGTGCTATACCATAAATGGCTCATTATAGTATGATAGTCCCATGCAGGCTCCCATGGCTTTAGACTTATAGTGGACACAACCACAGCAAGATGTTGGTTGAGCATTCCATAAACATGGACCATTTTCGGATCAAAATGATCACCGGTTCATGGAAAGCCATTCCATAAAGAGAAAAAAGGCGTCTGCGGATTTTCTTTTTTTGCTCTTGTATGTTGTCTCGCCATTATATAAAAAGGTCGGGTTCTCATTTTATAAAGCAGCAGCCTGAGGGATTCCATTTTATAAATGATTTTTCTTTATAAAATCAAATCCCTCACCCCAGAGACCTCCACAAGGGGGATCATTTTATGGTGTTTTAATGATATGTTAATATATTTTAGGCGTTTTAGGATCGGCGCCTTTGGTGTTGGAATCCTTTCGTTCGGCAGGATCCGCAGCTTTCCAACAAGCGCGCGTTGAAATGTTTGTCGCAGGACGCATGCGGTTTTGGTGTTTGATGTTAATACCCGTCAACCTCCTTATTAGGCTGATTCATGTGGGAAATGAATATTCATTGTCCTAAGCTGCAAAGTAGATCCACCACTTTACCAGGTGCCAAAGTGATCCGTAGCCAATGACCGTGCACCTCCACCTTGATCAAACACCTTGACCCGCACGTCGAAGACATGAGGTGGATCACTTTGGCGTGAAGAACGTCGCGCATGTGTGGCACCTTTGCTCTACATAGACCGCAGCGGAGGGGGGGGCCACACATGCGGCCTTTGCGGCGGTCCGGGAGGGTCTAGGAAAACGACTGCTCGACGGTCCCCAGAGATTGATTGCACTTCCACCGAAGGATTTGTTGCAGGGAATTCATCACGTATCAATCTATTGGGCGACCAGAATGAATTTGAGGAGGCTAGCGAATTAGAGATGCGATCGGTTTCCTTGAGCTCAGTGAGGAACACCACGAGGCATTGGGTTTAGTTTTCTCTTATATACACACCGCTTGCACCCCACCACGCCTATCTGAGCTGTATGACTTTTTAGGCCCATCCAGCTTATGGTCATGTAAAGCTGCTCAGCCTGGACCTGGGTGCTTTGGGCGGCTACGATACCAGATAGGAGGCACCCCCTCTTTTGAATCGTGACACGTTGAAGCGGATCTCACTGCCGATGGCCGATGTGGGCTGTGAGGGGCCTTTTCAAGATCCCACGCCATCACACTGAACGAGATCAGGGAGACTGGATTCCTCAATACCGATGCCGGAAGCGAGGTGGCCTAAAAAAGGGCCATGGGCAAGACATGGTGGGCTACGGTTAGGTCACCTAGGAGGCAGGGGTTTGGTCTACATGTCTCTCCACTGTCAGTCCAAACAGTTTTGTGCCCACAGACTGACGTATTCATGGAAGAGGCGCCTTTTTGGGTTCCCGGTCGTCAAGATCGTTTAAGGATCCATCATCGTTGGGCATAGCCCAGAGCCCTTGGGCTAGCTCTCCGACAGCCCCCTGTAAAAGAAAACATGACAGGCACGGAAGTCTCGGCTTCCAGCGAGCTCTCGTGCGCCAAGGTCTTCTGCAGAGAAGGTGTGGGGTGCCTTTGGTTGTTCGTGCACCTCTGTTTGGTGATCATGCGTGGGGCGGACTGCCCCACGAATGGGAAGCAGTCGACTCTCTGAGCTTCGGAGATTGCAGGGGCAGTCCTTTTTCCAAAAAACAGTGGCCACTGCCATGACAGGTTGGTCTTACACCATCAACCACTGTATATTTGTTACTTGTTTATAATCCAGTATAGTCAGCATGTGACCATCAGATGTCTTTGTTGGACGGCAAAGGTATGATTGATACTACTGCAAAGCTGTGCATGTAGCATGATAAGCAGTGATCAGTGATAAGCATCACTTCCTACAGAGAGCTCACGGGGAAGGTGTTTGAGCGGTGTTGGGATACCGAATTGATAAGGGTGATTGGAATTGACTGATCTTTTTGGCGTACGGCGTACGGATAGGGAGTCACAGATAGATACCTTGTAGATAGATAGATAGATAGATAGACAGATAGATAGATAGATAGTGTGTGTGTGTGCACATGTATTTGCTGATTTTGGCACATGTCGTTCGACCGACCGAGGCCCAAACGACGCTTCGTGCTCATGTCTTCCATCGGTGCGGTGCTCGACCATCCGGCCGAAGCGGTGAGGACGACGGGGATCACGTTGTGACCAAACCGATGTGGCCGAGGCGACGAGGATCGACGAGGTGGCTGGCGATCCCCTCAACCCAAGAAACGTGTTGGGGAAGTGGGTCCAATTTCCCCCCTCGCCAAAACTGAAACAACAAGTGCCTGACAAAAAAAGAAACAACCTGCATCGATGAGATCTTGGAAAACGAATTTCCCAACCTGACCAACGTGGACCAACCTGATTTGTCACTTGTCCCTCCCTTTCTTTTACGCGAGGTGTCACTCGGCGCGATGGCTTCCCGTACAACATCCTGAACGGTGGTGGCGTGCTGGATGCCAAGGCGGCGACCGAAACGCCGACGGGGTCGGTCAAATGGTGGACCCTGAGAGGTTTATATATTTCTTTTCATTTAATGTATGGTTTAAGCATGTTTAACTGTTTAACATGTATTAGTATTAGTTTTAACTAATGATTGTCGGTTTATGATTATGGCCTGAGCACTTTTGGGTTTTGTGCGGTGCTCAGTGTAGTGGCTGTGGGAGATGACTGACGAGGCCACTTAGTACATTTCATGCAAACGTGCATAAATATCATAAATATTATATATAATATATATATATATATTGTACGTCGTAAAAAAATCAATCTGCGGGGAAGGCCACCCCGCTGTGGAGACCGCCATATGCCCCTCCATCTGGGTTCGCATGAGTTCGCTCATGAGCCAGGCCCGTGGTGAGGAGGCAGTGGCACAGATGGCCTGGGCCGCAGAGCGGAACTTGGTCCGGTGGTTCTTTCGGCTCACGGGCCTTCAGCCAGTAACAATCGAAAGTAACTATCACTGATAGACTGATAGATAACTTAATTATGTAAGGTTGTAAGGAAATGGTCACGGAGCATGATTGACCTTCGCTATCCAAATGCTGGTTGGAGTCTAGTCCAAGAATTTGGCGTGTTGTGGAGGCCATACTCAGAGTGTGGAGGGCCGCCCTTGGTTTGAGAAGGGTGACGCAGGAAGGAACGCTGATCTGCATTTTTGGTTCGAAGCACTCAACTGTTTCAACGCCACTTGGATGTTGGAAGGATACTTAAAACCTCCCTCTTTTGCCAAGACAAGTTGATGTTGTTCGTATCAAGCCAACTCAAGTAATTGAATACGTTTGAATACACTGGTGTTTGGACGTTCATCTCCAGGCTATGCATCAGCTGAGCCAACAGAGCAGATCCCCATCCCTACCAGTGTTTTTGGAGATGCCCTGCATGGACCACCTTGAAAAACCACCCCAAGCGATCGGTGAATATGCCAGTCCCCTGGAGTGTTTGAGATACACTCCCTGAAACCAGGTGACGTGGATGGAATGGCCCCCCACGGGGCACTTTGTAAGACCGACCATGCAAAAATTGAAGTCCCAACTAACCAGTGTTTTTCACTCCCGCTTCCATGATGTGGGGGGAAGTGTTTTGATGTGTTTTGTGGTATGAAACATGGTATTTGATCAATCCTCCACTTGTTTCGAATTGACAGGCCTTGGCGCGTGCCTGGCTCCCTCCGCGTCCAGGCCTCGGCGGAGGGCTTCGGGGTCACCGTGGTGCGCCCGGGCCAGCGGCGTCCCCAGTTGGGAGGAGGACAGAGAGCGAAGGGCCTGGGGAACTCTCCCATTTCCAGCGGGACTCAGATGGGCGGGGAATCCGTAGTTTTAATTTACGTGTTTATTTGTTAAATTTCGTTTCTCCCCGGATGAAACTGGACAAGGTCGCTGTTGTCGATCCCGTCGACCTCCAACTGGGCGGCCTGTCAGCTGAGCACCTGAGGCTGTTTGGTGGGCCCTATGAGAACAATCGCTACCTAGGGACCCTGTTCCAGCTGGACAAGGCCCCGGCATCGAACTGTTTCCTTTTGGAGCTGCACTCCTCTAGCCATGGTTATCCTTTGCCGTAGTAAGTGCCTAGCAGCTCTACAGAGTCCACAGGAGTCCACCCTAGGCCTGCCCTCGGTTACGTTCGTAGCTTAGCTTCAGTCTTAGCGTTCGTAGCGATGGCCTCCAACCTACTTGCCGAGCGTCCTTGAGACCTGTTTCTTGGTCTTCGGTGCAAGGACATCAACACGCGCGGAGTGAGTGTGCAGCCGGGCGACACCGCCGTTGGCGACACCTTGTGTCTTGACGGCAGGTCTTTTTCATGGCGTCGTGCTTGCAGAAAACCAGCACCAAGTCAACTCAAATGATGCCATGCGCGTTGGGGAGTTCGCTATCTATCATGACCAACTCAAAACCAGCACCAACCCACTTCCAGGGAGAGCTCCATCCGCCAAATGGTTCGCTGGTGGTGAGCAAGTCGGTGTGAGAAGTTCTCAGTGACCAAGTCCTGCAAGTGAGGCAAACGCACCTCCTTACACCAGCCGTCCAATGACAGATGAAGAGCTTGGCTGAGAGTGCCATAGTTCTCGGTGATCGGTCCTGTAGGGTGGATGTGTTTTGCTTTTGGTCTTGGATTCAGCGCTATCGTCATGAAGTTGGTTTTGGTGATTGGTCATGTGTTCTCAAGCAGTATGTCGTGCAGAGGAGTGTGCTTGTGGCAACAGAACTATGTGTTTGCATTGCCAAGATCAAATGATGAGTTCTTTAAGTTTGCCGAAACATTTGGCAGGCACCCTGCCATTGCTGTTCCTCAATGGTTTCTTTTTTCTGAAGGGGGCCAGAGACATGCCCATTCCGTGGGTCAGATGATGTCAGATGCCCGTTTTGCCCTTAATCTTTTTTCAACGGGAGATTGGATACCTGATGCCACTATGTGCGCTATGCGTGTGTTTGTTTCCCGCCTGGCAACCCCCGCAAAATCCTAAGCCCACAACCCCTGGGTCCGAACGGATCTCCAGCGTCCTCCAGCGTCCTCCGGCTCGTTCGTTCGTCTCAAGCCCACCTCGGAGGCGGAGCTCTTTGGCTGGAGTTCTGGTGAGGTGTCAAGGGCCTCAGACCGCAGACCGCACCCAACACCCGTTGTGGACTGCGCGCTTCGGGGGCGGCATTTGAGGGCCCTGCAGTGTTGAGGAGGTCCATTGGTTGGATGAGGTTGGGGTATTGTTGTTCTGAGCTGGGGTGTCTCACCTGGCTCAGAGCGTGTGTTCCTTGGATTTGTTTGCATGATGAATGCGTTCATGACAATACGAGAGAGGGAGAGGACAGCAAACATTGGAATTGGCTTCTTTGGTGACATAGAAATTGCTCAGCTTGCAGCATGGCAGATTCGTAGCTGCTTTGGAATATTTACCTGGAATCCGGCCTTGAGTGTGCCATCCCAACAAGCCCTGGAAAAAGAATCCAGAAACACGGAAAATATCTGAACATATACGACCGTGTGGCTGGTGGCATTCCATGGCATTCCTATGTCAAAGCGAGCGAGAGTGGTTCGCTCAGCCAGCCCCAGGCCTCTTCAGCAGCCAGCCGCAGCTGGAATTTTCGGCACCTCGGCGTAGACTCCGCTCAAGAGAGTTGCTTAAATCTATATGAAAGGCCCGGCTTGTGGACCTTTCATCTGGCACCTCACCCTTTCAGCCAAAAACTTCATCCATCATCCTTTCTGGGCCTTCCTCCAGCTGTGGCCATTCCATCGTTTGAGGGGCGCATGTGTGCCCGGAAACATGGCCGCGAGCGCTGGCACCCGTTGAAACCTTGGAAAACGGAGTTGTTTTCTTTTGAATAACGGGAGGGGGTGGGTGGGATCCCGTCAAGAGGAAGTGGTGGCCTATTTTGGGTCACAAGTCGCACTGGCCAAGGTCATTGAGGTGAGGATGAGGGTGGATCATCAGGGAGCTTTTTGCTCCACCCTTATTGGCCACATGTCTTTGATATCCTACCACTTTCGGATCTTTTGGCTGAAGCTGATCACATTTGATCACCATACTGGTGAAGCTCGTGGTGAAGCTTTGACTCTCGCACCGCCTTCCGGAAGTCCGACTTGTCCTTTCCATCACTCCATGGGTCAAGTACGGGCAAATGGCATTGCTGATTGAACACTCCCATGGCCCCATGAAAGACATGAACAAGGGATAACAAGGGCCGCCCCCGGTGCACCCACAAAACAGACAGCACCGACTGTCCAGCGACCTTGCCTGAAAGAAGGGCCGCCATGGCGCAGCAGCTGTTGGTGTTGAACTCTGGCAGCAGCTCGCTGAAGTGCCTGGGCCAGATGAATCGCGATCAGTTACGGGGCATGTTTCATTACTGATGACTGGCCTTCTAGCCAACCCATTCCAAGCTGGTTCATCTTAGGAATTGCCGACAACTCGAAAGGCTGCCAAAGTCAAAGCTCACACATGCCCACTGGTGCCTGCAGGGTCCCATAGTTAATTAGACCATACCTAACCAAATGTCCAAACGTGAGGTATGCCCTTTTCAGCTGGAACAAGAGAGCGTCTTCCCCAAGTGCTTCGGGGCTTACCAAGATGCTCTTTGGCTCGGCGGATGGGCTTTACACGCCCCGTGCACGGCTTCGGACCAGCGAGGCTGGCAGCGAGGGCAGCCTGCTGCCGGGCTCGTCGAATGGACACCGGGCGGCGCTGGAGGTGAAGCTTCGGCCAGTTTTGGAAGGTTTTGGCTGCTTGACAGAGGCCTTTGTCAAGGATGCGAATGCAGGTTTCAAGAAGTGCTATATATACATTTCAACATATTTCAACTAGATGCGTGGACAGTATCCAAGCAAAGAATTAGAACTGAATATTGTCAATCTTGTTTAACTTCCATATTCTTCCGTCTCCTTCTTTGGATTACCGATTACGATAATGTTCAGTTCAGCTACTTCTGATTGGCCAAGTCAGGATCCTGTCCCGCTTGGAGTTCAATTCCCTGGCAGCCGTGGGACACCGGGTCGTGCATGGCGAGACCTTCACCCGGGCGACGCTTGTGAATGAGGAGGTCTTAGAACGGATTGAGCGCGCTGGAAGGTTGGCACCCATGCATAATCCTTGGAACTTGCTGGGCATTCAGGCGCGAACGTCAAAGCGATCGGGATGGTGAAAAAGGGGAACAAAAAACGAGCTTAATCATGGCCATGACTTTGCCAAAGGGTGCATTTATATGCATTCAGCTTGATGAAATGATGATGTTCGATCACCCAGAACTTTTTCAGTGTGAGCCAAAAGGCAGCAGTCCACAGCTACTCGGGCAGATGGGAATGTGTGAGGTGACAGGCCAAACCGCGCCGAGCCTGACGAGGCATGAGGATCAAACTGCTTGCTCCCAACCAGGCCTAGGTTCTGTTGGACCCTGGTGCAGCCAGGTTTTGGACGTAAACAATCATTATGTTGTGCTCAGCTACCCTACAATAAGAGTTCGACTTCCACTCTATAGATAATTAATTTGAGTGGATTCGGATTCACCGTCCACCTTTCTACAGAATCTATAGTTTGCCTGGCTTTAGGTAGTTTCGGTTTGTTCAGTGGTGTTCAATTTGCGTCTTCCATGCTCAGCAGTGGCTCAGCATAGCTCAGGTGGCTCAGGAGACACTGAAGTGTCCACAGATGGCAGTCTTTGACACTGCCTTCCATCAGACGATGCCACCAGAGGCATATATGTACCTGGGTGGGCGAATGGGGATGTCAAGTTCAACCCTGCAGTAAGGATCACAGTCTATAATTTCTGTATATGTTTTTTTTCCCCACTCGAAGCCGACTTCAAAGAACTCGGTTGGTTGAACTCAGCCGTATGCAACCGTAGTCCGAGATGTTCCTTTACTTTAGTTTGGGGTCAATTTAGATTTTTTTGATAATAGATAATATATTATATTATATATGTATATATATATATATTTATGCATATATAATATGTGTATATATATATATAGTTAGATCACGACAGGTCTTGGTCATTGTGCGGGACCATGATAGGACTGAATCAGGCCCACAACCATCAGCATCTAGCAGCTCTAGCATGATGATTGGGGTTCTTCTTCGACGGAACCATGTGTCACATGATCAATGAACTTGAAGAGAGCGCCCATGCATGAATATGCCAAAAAACATCACAGATTGTACTTGTTTGTAGGGATGTGCGCATATCTGTCGTAAGGGACCATGCTTGACAGGAACAAGCATTTGTAAATTTTAGACTGTCAGAGCAGGTTGTCTCAGCAGAGGAGAAGTGTTCACTGTGCCAACTGCCCGTTTTTGACAAATGGAGGTCACCTTTTGGGTACAGACGAGGCAGGGACACTTAGCATTTGGCATGCAGTGATGAGTCATGGAGCAGTTTCGTACGCTATAGCATGCTGAGGTATGCCTTGCCACATGAGCTTTGTGAGAAACACGGCCTTCGAAAATATGGATTTCATGGAACGTCCTACCTCTACATTGTCAGCAAAGCAGCCAAAGCGTTGCAGAAGCCTGTCAAGGAGGTGGGGGTCTTTTGCAGGTACCTTTTTTACGACTTCCCTGAAGCTTGAGATGCACCATGAATGTTACACTTGCCATTTACCAACGAACAGCACCTTTTCGATCCAAAGCTATGTGGGTTGCTGGGAGGGTGAATCGGCTTGTGGGCCGAACGCACCCTGTGCACCTGTGAGGTGAACTTGATCGTGTGCCACTTGGGGAGTGGCGCCTCCATGTGCGCCATCCAAGCGGGGCAATGCATTGACACCACCATGGGTTTCACACCACTCGAAGGCTTAGTTCCTCGGCAGCGGGAACGCGTAGAAATTCACTGGCGAGTCTGTTTGTCAGACGAAAATGAGGGAAAACCACTTGAATAAATTCCCAAATATACACGAAGCAGATCCTTCTTGCCCTGCTTGGGGCGGGTCATGCCATGGTTGTCCTGGTTGCTTCCATCCAGCAAATCCAAAAAGTAAAAATGATCAAAAACGAGTACGAGTACAGTCTTTGTATGTTTTTGTAAGTTCTTCCATTGTTTGCCCTTTCAGTAGAGGTGGCTGAATCGACCGGCGGAAAACGAGGTGGTGTTTTTTCCCCTCTGGCTGCGTAGCAACAAGGCTTTCCGACGATTTGCGGTGCTTCAGCCAATTGTCGTACTGTGAGTTCACTGACCAACTTGCCGAGTACTGTACCCTCCCCCAAACAAATGTATTCATGTAAATACCCACATACGGCTTAAGAATGATGATTCAATATCCTTTCCCAGAGGTTCCGCAATGTTTTCCCGTAGTTTTTGAATAGCGCAAATGCAGGTGATGGGAACTCGTTGCGGAGACTTGGATCCTGCAGTGCCTCTCCATCTCATCGAGCTGGGCCACTGGTCACCCCATGGTGTTTGGGGCCTGAGTCAGGTCCACAGGACGCCTGAGTGTATGGCACTGGCACCCAAGATGTCTCCTACATGGAGGTTCATAATATAACCCATTGAACTTGGGGTGCCAGTGCCATTTACTCTTGAAACCGCTGTCAATCAAGAGCAAGAGCCTACTGTACATTGGGTCTTTGGCCTTTCATCTTTGGTGACCTGTACAAAGAACCGAGACCTAATCCTACAGCGACCCTGTCCTCACTTTATTTTTTTCTCCCAGACCGTTTGCATATTTCATCGAAGGCTAGATGCTGATTTGGTGATGTGAACTACTGGAAGAGCAAAGGCAAATATCAAAATATAAGTTGAAAGTTTAAGCCTTGTAATGCATCCAACCTTGATGAACATGAATAGAACCGCCCCCAGCCAAAGCTTGCTGCTAGGGCATGCTTTCTCAGCCATGCGAGGCTACAGCACGGAGGAGGTCTCAGAGCTTCTGAACAAACACTCGGGTCTTAAGGGCCTTTGTGGCTTCTCCGACAACCGCGATGTGGAAGCGCGCTTTCGCACGGGCGAGCATCGCGCGCAGCTGGCGAAGAGGATTCAGGTGCGGCGCCTTTAGGCAAAAAATCGTTTGGTCCGAAAGAACCCTCAGCAATGGATGGGACTGAGTTGGGCTGAGAAGGGATTGGGCGTGTGTTGCTGCCAGTTGTTGAAGTCGAGGCGAGTTTTGTGGATGAGCAGAAAAATGGAATCATTTGTCCATGAATATCTGATCAGTTTTTTGTTTGTAAACCACTCATGCTCCATCCCTACTCATGGGCACGACTACATCCACTGACAGATGTGGGGAGGACCTAGACTAGACCAACAATGTAGGTGACCAATCCTGCACGGCTCAGCAATGGGCATAGTAGCACCCCCTCGATTGATCAACGGAGCACTAGTGCCAAAGACGCAAGAAACGTTCAGTGATTTTACAGGGCTTCTCCAACAGCTCTTTGAAACTTGCCCTCCCTCCAACAATCATTCAGGACCCCCTTGTAGAGGAAAATTGATGAACATGGTCTTCCAGCAACCTACATTCCACTGCCATGATTGTTTCAGGGGATGTAACGACCTATGGAGATCGCGTGCTAGAAGAACCTTGCCCAAAAACAAGCTCTGCTTAGCTCTGCTGCAAGCTTGGTGCGGGTATCTGATCTGGACTCCTGTTCAAAAGGAGGGCGTTCGACCTCCTCCAGGTCTACCGCACACGAAAGCATTTGGGCTCCTACCTGGTGGCCTTGAATCGGGTCGATGCCTTAATCTTCACCGGTGGCGTCGGAGAGAATTCGCCTTTGCACCGGTCGCTGGTGTGCGAGGGCCTGGAGAGGCTGGGGATTCAGCTGGATGAAGAAGCCAACCAAGCGGCGGAAGGCGCTTGGGGTGTTTGGGGTGTTTGGGGGCGCATGGGAGGAGCTTGGGAATGGGTAGGAGAAGGGCGAGAAGAATCGGAGCAAGAGATGAGGATTGGGTTGGAGTGAAGCCTCAAGTAAGTCATCAGGCAGATTTGAGTGAATCTTACTTAACATGTATATGGAGCAATGGACGTATAGAATGAATTGCTTTTTTTGTGCAGCCATTGTGAAACATGGAGCCCGGATTGTGTGGGTTGACCTGACTTGATAATATGAGCGTCAGGTTTGTCAATGCACAGTCAACAATGGTGTAGGAATGGGCATGTGTAGCAGTGTAGCATGCAGGTCCTTTTTCTGGAATCCTCAAGGCGCTCTCCCATCGCCCAATGCATCGGAAGCATGCTTTTGTAAACCTTGGAATGTCCGAATTGCTTGGAAAAGGGTGCTTCACTCCTTCCTTTGTTTTGGTTCCAGATGCCGTCCTCCTCACAACACCCCAGGGCGATGCACTGGCGGCACGGCCCTGCATAAGCCTGCGTCGAAGACAGAGATTTGGGTGATTCCCACCGACGAAGAGCTGTCCATTGCCCAGCAGACTGCTGATTTGCTGGCTGGAAACGTTGAATAGGTAGCCGCTGTAGCCAGTTGTTGCTGCAAAGTCCAGCAGCCCGACGTAGAGTTGTTAAGCCAAGCGAGGAAATAGTACGACTGGCATAACATACCGGCACGAGTGGGCAGTAGATGGAACATGTTGCACATCTCATCTCCATTTGCAAAGGGATACATTGATGTCAATGTGTAGTCATGAAATTGCTCTTAGAATGGTGGGCACCGGTTCCGGAGCCTTCTACAAGTGCCTACTTGTAGGATGAAATCCTTCAAGAACAGTGTTCCCAAAGGCTCCCTTGCATTGGACCCTTTGAACATGCCTTGTGTTGATCTATTTCGTCTCTTCCGCTGGCGGAGGGCGCGTTCCTTCCATTCGTCGGTGGCCAGTGCACGTGGCAATCGGCACGTGTCTGTTGTGCGGCCTGAGGTGGTCAACGAAGAGGGCACGTGGCTGGCTTAGATGACGTGAACCGTGCAGTTCCTGGGGGCCACCGGTGAAGCCAAGCCTCCACACCCCGATCTCAGCCTTGATGGTCGGTATGTCGGTATGTTTATGTTCCCCTTCTGTTCCGGGGTTGCTGCACCATGGAAACCCTGGACTGATATGGAGAATGCACCACTAACTTGCATGCCAAAGTGAACTAACACACAATAACACACTTAGGCTCGAAGAGGATCTTTGAACGCGATTAACTATGAATTTTCCTAAGGAGCCCCTCCCAATCCAACGAGTGCATGCCTGGTCTCCCGTCAATAACGCTTGCCACATCCTGGTGCTTTTCACGATCCAGGCCACCGGAGGAGGAGGAGATCGATCAGATGCTGTCGACGCTGGGGCAAAACACCAGGTACCGGGACTCGCGGGACACGAAAGGCCTAGACGTCCACCAGGACGCCAAAAGGCCTAGGAACCCTCTTGAACAGACAGCAGTCCCAACTAGCCCATGAAGAATACGTGAAAGAGGTTCCCAAGGAATGTGGCAAAATATCGTTGGCCGCTGCTGCGTGTCAATGTGGTCGAGCGAAGCGGGTTTAGTGTGGCAGTGTCGTGGAGAATCCAAGGTCCTGGAGTCCTGACTGCTCAAGAAAGAGACCACAGACCCCACCCACCAAATCCTGCATCAACACGCCCAGATATTTTTTGAGCAGCTCTACCGTGATGGAAAAGGGATGATGAACATTGTCTCGGGTGGGCTGGTCCAATTGAGTTGGAAAAAGAAGGTTCCTGACAGCCGACATGGCAGAAAAGTCTTCGGTTCAATTTGTTGCCCACTTTCTGTCCGCCAACCGTCCCTGACGCATACCGCGGGCGGGCTGAGGAGCCTTGGGTCCTCCACCTCAGGATCTCAGGCACGGCCGAACGACGGCGGATGGACCGTCCTTTGCGTGTCCCAATGGCTCATACAGGCTCATATATTGGAGACCATGTTGGCCTGCTTGTTTGTCAGGCCTAGAAACTATGTGCTAGTTTGGGGAAGTTATATTTAACCTTGAATTCTTGAAGATGGTTGAAAGGCAAATCGTTGATGGAACATGTGATATGAAATGTATGTATGTATTGTATTGTACTGGTATGGTATGGTATGTATGTAATGTAATGTAATGTAATGTAATGTATGTATGTATGTATGTTCAGTATATATGTATGTATGTTCAGTATTTATGTATGTATGTATGTATGTATGTATGTATGTTCAGTATGTAATGTATGTATGTATGTATGTATGTATGTATGTATGTATGTATGTATG